CTTGGATTCTCATCATTTCGGTGGTACTAATTACAAGTGTACATTAATTAATGAGTGGCTGTTATGCTAAAAATCAATGAAAAATACATTGTAAGCCTAAAGAATATAATAGTGTCTGTTGACACCCAAAATATATAGGTGTAGACACCTCATTTATGTTTTGTGTAGGCATTATTTTTGTGCTTCTGGACCAAGTGGTTGAGGAGTTATGACATCATATATTGGATAAATGTCAGTAACCTTTGACTTGGAATATTTAATCAACGCAGCTACTAGAAGGTGGCAAAATACTTTAATAAATTGTTTCCAAAAACCAGGTGTAGCCACTATTTCTGTGCATGTAGGCAAACTGGTTGAGGAGTTATGACCATCATAGTTGTATAAAGGTCACTGACCTTTGACCCTAAATATTTAGTTAACGCAGCTACTAGAAGGCGGTAAAAATGTTTCCGTAAATGTTGACCCCAAAAATCTTTGTGTAGACACAATTTTCGTGCTTTGAGACCAAGTAGTTGAGGATTTATGACACGGAACATGCTATATAAAGGCTATACTGACACTTGACCCCGAATATTTGGTCAACGCAGCTATAAGGCGTCAAAAATTTCCCATAACTTTTGTCCCGAAAAACCTCGGTGTAGATACTATTTCTGTGCTTTTAGAGCAAGTACTTGAAGAGTTATGACCTGGAACATGCTGCATATAGGTAATTGACCTTTGAACCTGAATATTTTGTAAACGCAACTATAAAAATGTGGCAAGAATGTTTTCATGACTCTTTTAATATAGGCCTACAAGAATATGCAAATAGTCCTTCTATTAGAGTTTGTTTAATGTTAAATAGGATTTTGTCACATTTAGCCTGTACTACTACTACTTTGTAGGCACTCGCTTGTTGTGCCTACATAGGATATCTATTTAATCAGTGGGCCATGTCTGCACGTGAGAAATTACAAATATATAAATTAGAATACAAAAGATGCTTATGAAAGATAACATTTAATAAATATCTAGATTACAAACTTCATCTTCTTACAAGAAGGCTGATTTTAGAAAACTTTCGAACTTTGTTTTGTCGTTTTCTTACGCGATGTGTTTGTTGTTTGGTTTAGAGCTACCTAATTAGCATATTAATGTTCCATTTTGATTACAAGAAACATCAGGAACATGGATTCATGTTTTTGTGATAAAGTGCAGGCAGATAATTTTGATAAAATCCAAATAATTTTAAAATTCAAGAATTATTGTTTATAGTTTTCATAAATTTATAAAATAAAATCAATACAATACGGTATTTACATAGGCCTACAGTATTTTCTGTGAAATTTGTCAATACGTTCTTTAAAACGTACATAGAATGTGTATAGAATTTTAATAGAAATCCCCAATTATGATGTAAAAAATTATTATTTTTATATAAATCCATTTATAATTCTATAGAAATTGTATTATACATTCTATACACTTTTGTGTTTAATTTCTAACGAATTTCTAATCAATTTTATCGAAAATCGTTCAAAATTACATAGAAAATATATCAGAATAAAACGATAATTCTATAGGATTTTTAGAAAAGAAAAATAGAAAATTCTATAGACACTATATTTAAAAATCTAAAGAGAAAATATAAAATTAAATTTAAGAAATTGTATAGAATTTAATTAGAATTCTTTCTATAATATTTTTTCTAAGTAATTCTCTATATAATTATAATATATGTATATATTAAGAAATTATTCTTGGATAAATTTTCTCTATAGAATTATATTTCTATAGAACTATTTCTATAGAGAATGGATTGGTCTTATATAGAGAAAAAAATCTTGGATCAATTTGTTTATAGAATTGTATTTTTATATATTTGCAAAGTGCGCAAGACCACACTTAAATTTACAAATCGGTAAGCCCTAATAAAACACAAAGAAACGGCAGAACATGTCAAAGCATACAATGCAAACAAAAATGTTTTGCAAATAGGCCCTAAACACGTTTTTTTTTTTAATGAACAGACCGCTACTTCCAATGTACCGTACTTCTTTGTGGTCTTATGGCCGAACACATGATACCATTCCGACAAGTCGACGATATGTCTGATGTTTTGAAACGAATGTTCCCAGACAGCAACATTGCCGGCAAGTTTACGTTAAAATGAACGAATCGTGTGTAATGCAAGAGGCCATTCCTCATTAAGAGAGTGAAATCCTAACGAATATCTGCAGAAATAGCAAGTTTTCATTGTTGATTAATGAATTTACAGACATAGTCTCTCAGATTTTCGCTGTAGTTGTGAGGTTTCACTCTAACAACAAAGTAAGAGATACTTTGTTGACCACGGTAGAGGTTGAAGACGGAACTGCTGATGGACTGTACACAACCATCAAGCATATATTTAATGAAATTAAATAAATTTAATTAATTCCCCTCAATAATATAACTGGTTTTGCGAGCGACAATTGTTCCACAGTGATGGGATATAACACTGGATTCCAGGCGCGACTGAAGGCTGATGTCCCTGGTATATTCATCATTGACTGCATTTGCCATTCATTTGCTCTTTCGCAAACCATACCAATCATTGCCTCCCATCGTGGTTGGAGGCATTCGTCAAAGTTGTTTGCTGTTACTTCTCCCGAAGTAGTAAACGTAAATATCAATTCCGCCTTATCCAGGAGGTGGTTCTGGCGCCCCCATATTAAGATGCTTAAACTCTTTCAAACACGATGGTTATCACGAGGAGAAGGTTGTTTCAGGATACTAGAACGATGGGATGCATTGCTATTGTTCTCTGAGGCTGGATCACGAGCAAATCGGGTTGATGGTGCATCAACGAAACACGAAAAGCTTACAACAGTAGAGACAAAACACGTGTTTTTGTTCCTTAATGCTGACAAGGTAAATGTTGAATTTCAATCCCAGAAATTCTGGCTTCATGAAGTTTACATGTCAATAACAGAAGAACACAGGAGCAACAATGGAGCATGTTGATTGGTCAGTTTGTCCTCTGCTTTTTTCTTGTGGTTTTTACTGTATTTTTACGCTTATACTGGTCTCTTACATTATCTTTGTTTTGCTAATTTCTTGTTAATTAGTGGTATTGCAGCACATTCAGCAGCAGCACATTTGTCGCCAGGAGGCTCAATGTAACACATGGGTCCATTTTAAGAAGCCTGTGAAAATGTACAGTCTGGACACTTCCACAAGCGATTAGAAAAGAGTCAGCATGCGAAAGACGCCATCAATGTTTATGATGTTGTGCTTCATGAGGATGATGACGAATGAGAGTTTTTTGATTTATGGAGTGACTGTTGATGATAATGTTTTGTTCGATCATAAGAAAAAAATTGAAAGAAATCTTTTTCGATGTTTGAATGAAAAATATATATAAAAGTGCATAGGCCTAATTGTTTTTGTTTGCATGACAATCAGTGTAATATTTGTACAGTATGTTGTCACTCTAGTTCCGCTACTTCTGGGTTTATACAGTAGATTAGGTGATTTAATGCTGGTTAATGCACTACAGTCTGATGTTACAGTGGTCCTATGTATTGTTTTATCAGCCTCTTGATGAAGTCGACTGTGTGGACGAAAGCTAGAGCATTAATTTTATACAAGTTAGTCTTGAAAGTTCTGATGTCTTTTCTTTTATATTAAGATGCTCAGGGCTAGGTATACGGTATTCAGATTAAAAATGTGTTTGCAAAACTATAAGTTGATTACATTGTTAAACAGTCACACGATATTTGTTGACAATGTCTACTCCACTGCAAAGGGGCCCCAACATTTTCTCGCCGCCAGGCCCCATGACTCATCGTTACGCCACTGGTAGGAGGTGCGATGAGTGCGTAATGTACGCACCGCCCTCTTCCAAACGGAAGATGGTCCACATTATTAAGACAGTTGGACATGTACTAAACCTAAAATTGTTATATTTGTCATAAAACGGGAATCCTAAATCTTTTAACCAGTGTAATATATTTGAATCCTACAACACCCTACAATATTAAAGCGATCTAACAGTCTCTTCCCCTTGACACCGTCGTTGGAAACTAGCGATTTCCGATCCGCGTTGGTTCATTTTTGAATACCCAAGTATCACCCCATCCCATGAATCTGATTAAGCATGAACAACCAAATATCGCTGATAACAAATTCAGTATCTGGATGAACTCTATCGTGTTTGTGAATTCCCGTAGCTTCTCTGGTCCGTCTGGAATGCCAAGTAGGTACAGTGGCTATCAGTCCCAGTTCAGCTTTACCCCAACATAAACGATGTTTATACCACTCCCCACCCTTTTACACAGATTGTGAATTTTGACTTTTTTTTAAAATAGCATTTCCACACGTAGTCTCAGCTATTGTATAGTTTTCAACCAATCCGCAGCAAGTCTCACTATCCCAAAATATAAGTATTTCCCTGTTTGGAATTTCTGCAGATATTATTCTAAAGACGATTGAAGCAACTCAATCGAAACGTCGAAATATTCTCAACCAACAACAACAACAGTTCTTTTTAGAACTATCTACGTGGTGTACCGCAATCATAATATAACTTCGCCATGCAAACCATCAAACCATAAATGATGATGTTGTTTGTGGGAGAGCATGACTATAAATGATTTTTTGTCTTGGAAATTGTTGTTGATCTCAAAATTATGATCTCAAAATAGACAAAATCATTCATATTATAGTGTACTTTTTTCTGGGGGGAAGGAGGAGAAAAAAATCTTATGTGCGGTACTCTTGAAAAAAAGTATGAAAATAAGTAACGACCTTTAAACTTCTTGTCAAATAATATCTATAGTAAACAGGTACCGTAGTAATAAGTCCAATACGGTACACATTGACTGATCACGGATCTAACGAAACTATAATTCTACGAACTATTGTTAGATTTAACAATCATTCCGGAACAGTGAGACTTGTGCTGGTGTGGTTTCCTTTGTTCACTCCATTATACTTTTTGGGCGTTAACTTGTAACGTCTGAACGACTTTTCATCGTTTAAGAGTAATGCGAATTCATTCGTTTATTCATTGTATTAATACAAAAATTCAGAAGCACCTGTCACTTTTCATTCAACAAGGAACTTTACACAACTTCTGAAATCGTTTTCAGATATTTCCTGTGTAGATCGCCTTATCGTGGGAAAAACTTTAAAACATATTCTTAAATAAACATATTTGAACGTTATTTTTACCCGTTGAAAATTGAAAGTCGCATTGTCGACATGCGTTTACTGTTCGGGCTTTACTTAAGGATTTGTCTATTGTTCGGAGCATTCTCACATGTACAAAGTAAGTCTGTAATTTTATGTCTATCATTTAGGCCTACGTTATAAGAATCGAAATTGCTCTTATAAGCAGAAGGATATACATATATATATATATATATATATAT